TGCTCGATTTCAAGCCAACCCACGAGAACCTCATCTTCAAGCAGTGAAGAACATCTTTCGCTATCTACAGCGAACTTCATCTCTAGGTCTATGGTATCCAGCCAACTCTGGATTCTTCGTGCAAGCATTTTCAGATGCTGATCTGGGTGGCGGTGGATTGGATCGAAAAAGCACCATAGGAGGATGTTAATTTATAGATGAGAAATTAGTCAGTTGGCAATCAAAGAAACAAACTTGTGTTTCGTTATCCACTGTAGAAGCCGAATACATTGTTGCAACATCTTGTACATCTCAAGTCGTATGGATACAAAGTCAACTTCGGGATTATGGCTTGAACATGAAGAAAATCCCCCTATACTGTGACTCTGAAAGCGCAATCAGAATTTATCACAACCCAGTGCGACACTCGAAGACAAAGCATATCGCACTGAGGTACCATTTCATCAAGGATCACGTCGAAGATGGCAACATCGAAATTCACTTCGTAAGAACGACTGATCAACTGGAAGACATTTTCACAAAGGCTTTACCTGAAGTAAGCTTCAATAAGATCTTACAAGGCTTAGGATTGATGCATGCCGAGTCAGTACCAAAATCGCCTTTGCTTTCATAAAGGTAACAAGAGAAATAGGGCGAACCTGAACCGAAATGAACCGAACGTTCGGTCTATTTCGGGTTCGGTCCTTCTGAACTTGCATTTTTTTAAAAGGCGTTTCAAGTGTATTCTTTTGTATATTTCTTTTTTACTTCTTTTCTATTAATAAAATCCCAAAAATATTTTTTTATTTATTTTGTTTCAAATTATTCTATTCTCACAAAAACACAAAAATATTTTCTTTGTTTTATTTGTTTCCTATTTCTAGCGTTTTTATGTTTGTCCAAGAGTGATTATCAATGACGAATCTACGGCAGGTAAATTTTTTTCGTTAGTTAGGTATCCCTAGAAGCATGCTGCTGTATGTAGACTCAAGCCTCAACTGATTCTGAGTGAAGCCTTAATAACATGATCAACACCAATCTTGTTTTCAAAATTCAGGCTGTCAAATTCACTCTAATCATGAGCTACCTTACTCTACTCAAACTGAGTTTAGAGTATCTGCCTGGATTCTCTTTTGTTTAATAAGCATAGCTACATTCGTTTCTTACACCATCTCCATCCTATTTCTCCATTATATTTCACTTCATCAATATAACCCCTAAGACTCTCAGTTTTAACCACTGAGGTTTATGGTTATACAAAATCTGCGTTCATGATCTTAGGCTATGGGGAGTGGTCACATCCACCCTACCGGAAAAGCGCTGCCACATATGTGCCATATCAGCTTCACACCCAACCCACCACCAACCCACTAAAGACTGGAAATGGTTACCACTCCACAAATTCCTTTTTTTTTTTTTTGACCATTATATTAATTAAAAACATAATTTATAAAATACATTAATTTTTTAAAACATAAAAAAATAAGAGCACATTTCATTAATTAAAACATAGAAATTTAAAACTTAAATTAGTAAAATTAAACATTACATTGTCTAAATAAAAAAAATTAAAAAACATAGAAAAATAACGTTACATTGTCTAAATAAAATAAAAATTAAAAAACATTAAAAACATAGGAAAATTCTAATCGTCTTCGTTCTCGTCACCGGTATCATCCGCCTCGTCTCCACCATCGTCATCCTCCTCATCGTCACCATCGTCATCTTCACCGTCATTCTGCCCTTGAAATTGTCGTTCCCATATGTATTCGGTCAAATCATGTCGTAGATTGTGATGTGTTTCACGGTTTTGTATTTCCAAAAGCCTTGAGAAGTATGTCGGACTGCCAACTTGTATTACTGCGGGTGGGTTAAGTATATCGTTTGTGGTATATGAGCAAATAGCCCTACCCTCTTCTTCTATTATCATGTTATGTAAAATGACACAAGCAGTCAACACGGTCCTCAATTTTTCTTTGTCCCATGTTCGTGTCGGATGTTTGATTATGTGTCACCTTTGTTTGAGGACTCCAAACGCCTGTTCTACATCCTTCCTTGCAGATTCTTGTGCTAACGTGAACATTTTTCGTTTATTGTCGGCCGGAAATGTGTATGACTTGACAAACGTAGCGTATTCTAGATATATCCCATCACCTAGGTAATACCCATATTTGTATTCATTTCCATTGACAACATATGGCATATTTGGTGCTTTGCCCTGGAAAATATCATTAAATATCGGAGACGCTTTGATCACATTCAAGTCATTGTTTGACCCAGCAATACCAAAGAATGCATGCCAAAACCATAGGTCATTTGAAACTACCGCCTCCAAAATAACAGTCGGCACCCTATGATCACCTCGCGTGAACTGGCCACGCCACGCGCTGGGACAATTCTCCCACTCCCAATGTGTACAATCAATGCTACAAAGCATCCCTGGAAAACAATGTTTCGCTTGATGTGCGGCATACAACGGTTCGACATCGCTTTTAGTCGGATGTCGCAAGTATATGTCACGGTAAAGCTCTATGACATACTCACAAAACAAATATGTACACTCTCGACCTGTCCTCTCAGACATTTTCAGATACTCATCCGATGCGTCTGCGGTTATACCATATCCCAACTGTCTAAGAGCGGCCGTACATTTTTGTATTGTGGTAAAACCGCGTTTACCTCTAGCATCCCATCGTAATTGAAAAAATTCATAATTATGTGTCAAATCTCTACCTATACGTAAAAATAAAGTTCTACTAATACGAAAACGTTCTTCGAATTTAGATAAATCATATGAACTATCAACGGCAAAATAATCACGTACCAAAAGTTCATGTGCCACCTCTCAATCACGGTTGATCCATTTTCTATGCTTATTTTTGATGTTTGAACTTTCGCCCCTCTCACGTACTACGTCTTGTGCTGCGGATAACAGCGTATACAAAATAAAATCGTCATCGTAATTGTTATCATCGGAGGACGAAATAATTAGAGGTGGAAAATTATCCATTTTTTGGTTTGATGTGTGTGTTTGTTTTGAAAAAATGTGGGAGTGGTTTAGTGGAAATTGTGAATAAAGTGGATGTATATATAGAGAATTTGAAAAATTAAAAAAAAATGTTTTTTTTATTAATGCAAAGTAATGGTCAATTGCAACGTTCGGAATTTCTTAGCCAATCAAAGCCCTCGTCTTCATCCGTCTTTCGCCTCACCTCACACCCACCCCACCGGACTTGGGGGCGGTGTTCACGCGTGAGAGAGGCTGCCACCTCAGCCCAAGACGCGTGAAACTACCCCCATACCGAGTAGCCTTAGTTTCATGCCACTATGTACTAAGTGAAACCCAAAATTCAACACCACCAATGAATTGACGGTGAATTCAATAATTCAAGATATTACTTGTTACTCAATGAAATCTCTTTTTCTTTTTTAGTAATCTTTATGAGATTGCCTTTCACCAAGGTGTCTCTAACCCTAAAAGATTCATTTTATTTTCTTTTTGAGATTTCTTAAACTCACTTGTCACTTTAAATTATTTCTCACCTACTTGTTCAACAGATCACAATGATCTCACAAGTACTTCGTTCTATTTTGATCTTATGTTCAATATATGAAAGCCACCCACTTTACCCTTTAAAATATGTCTTTCAAAATTTCTGATGGACAAGTTATTGATCGTTATTTCATGGGAAACCAAGCAAGCACTTCAATGTCTCTCTTGACTTTGAAGGAAGTGATTTTTGCCCAGAATCAACTGCTTTATGTCTAATACGACATCACAGTCAATCACAAAATCCTAGTTTTATTTCCTTATCTTTTACACCTTTGCATGAAAATTTTTAATTTTCCAAAATTCTAAGGTTTTACGCAGATTATCAAGGAACAAATACTCAAGCATTTTTAGGTGAAACGATTGGGATGAAAAGGTAGCTGACTCAGCAGAAATTCAAACGGTTTGGCGATTTGAAAAAGGTGAATTCTATCAAAAGGTGTGAAAAAGGGGAAACGTTTTTCTCTATCCTGCGTCATCTTTGGCATGCCAACTATTCCCACATCAAGTCAGGCTCGTTTTTAAAGATAATCCAAGATTTCAGCCGAATTCTTCTCTCTCATCCTTGTACGTATAAAAGGAATTGGAACGGTACTCTCTCAACCTTTATCACTTCCAAAAAGCTCTCAAAGAAACTCGGATATTTCTGTAACTGTTCATCATCATTCTCAAGCTCCTACAATGGCAGAATCTTCATCTGTTCATGATACCTCAATTCTTCAACCCCTTCTCACAATAAAACCCCAACAAAACCTAATCATCGATCTCACTCCCTTTGTTTATGAGCCATATATGCTTTATGTGGTTGAGTGTCTCAAATACTCACCACTTGTCGATGCAATGACAAAGGTTGAAATAGTGCCAATGTCGTTCTTATCCCATGTCTACTCGACGACGTTCTATGAAAAGGCAATGAACGTATCCACTTCGAGCTTCACGATGAGAAGGTCTTCATCGCCAAGAGTCAATTTTGTGCCCTAATCGGTCTCTCACAAGATCCATCTCTGGTAAACCCTGACTCTATTACAACTGGCCAACTATTTACCATGTTTTATCAGATGGGGTATACTGAAACCCTAACAACGGTTACCAAGTTCAAGAAGTACTGCCTTCCTCCTACATGGAATGCCTTATTCACACTCTTATTCAAGGGTTTATCTAAGTGAAGTGTTGGTTCTGACGGTGCTAGCAAGGCCTTCATGACGGTGCTGTATGGGTTGTACAGTGGGCTCAATCTTGACTATGGGTCTCTCATTTGGCAGCAGCTGGTTCAAAGTTTACTTTCTTCATCAAAGCACTCCGAAATTCTTGTGGGCATTTCTGGACCATCATCACCAAGTGGGCAATGGATCGCAATCGCGTCCCAACTATGGCGGATTCCTTGCTTTCTTCAATCGCCACCTTTCATACGTCGAAGATCATCGTCACTGACCCCACAAAGTTTTCGTACATCGGCTCCATTCCTGAAACAATGCTTGCTTCTATCTCAGCATCAAGCAATCTTCTTCAGCAGTACCAAAAACGCAAGTCCGTTGGTCCGCGTGAGCTTACTCCCACTATGCTTCGTTCTATTGAAGAAGCTGATAAACCAGCCAAATGGGGCAAGAAACCTGAATCGCAAAAGGAGGGATATGTAGCGAAACCATCCAAGGGGCAGACTCCCAAGAAGAGGAAAACTGATAAAGCAGCTGCTTCTCAACCACAACCCAAAAAGCAGAAGAAGCCTGCCAGGAGACTTATTCTTCAATCCTCCAGCGACTCGGATTCAGAATACGTTCCTCCTAACCAGAAGAAAGCTCTATCATCAGACTCTGAGAACGAAAGTTCATATGAAGAGGCTTCGGGCCGAGCAGATACTCCACCTCACTCCCCAACTCTAGAAATTCCGGTTAGTACATTGCCTCCTTCACCTCCACCTGTTACCATGCCTACTTCTATCCCTCCTATCTCACAAACAACTACCTCTCAACCTTTCACTTCAATTCCTATTCATACTCCCATCTTCACAGATACAACCTTTACCACCACTACAAAACCCACCTTCACTATTCCCAAACCACCTGTAACCAAACCTACCTTTATAACCGAACCTCCTCACACAACCGAACCTCCTGCTTCTTCAAAACCCTTATCACCAACACCCTCTACAGAAACAACCCCAATTTTGGGCGGTGAGGACTTGGAGTTCGACTCCACATACTTCAGTCCTTATCGAGTCCAGAGTGAGGATGATGACGACGATCCTATCACCAAACATCATCTCAAAGCGGTAAACGACAAGTTAGATCAACTGCTTTCCTCCTCTTCCTTAGGTGGTTATTCAGATGCTGCATTGAAGGCACTGTTCTCTTCAGTTGTTGCTGAACATTCTGCCTCTCTAACTATTGCAGCCAAGGCTATTCAAGCCTCCACTTCTCGGTATCAACAGGCCTCTCAGGCTGTGGATGCCTCTACAAAGGAGTGCAAGGAAGCGACCGCAAAAGTCGATAAACTAGTTTCCAGGCTCACATCTTTTTAGATTCTTTGCAGGCTGTTGCTGCCAAGAATGCTGCTACAGTTACTTCTTCTGTAGAAACTCTTCAACAGACTCTTCAGTCTGAGTGCTCGAAGGTTGAAGCAGCACGTCTTGCAATTGAACAGAAGAATGAAGCGTTCCATGCTACTGTTAATGAACGCTTATCCCAACTACAAGCAAATTTAGCTATGGAGAATGGGATTATGGATGAGCTTTCCAGATGCACAAATCAGCTTAAATTGTAAACACACAAGCTGCGATCTGCTCATGATGAGATTGATGATCTCAAATCAAAGAGGGAAGTTATAAGGAGTTCTGTTTCAGACGTTCACTCCATTCTTCTTCATCTCATTGAAGGTCATGATCCACTTGTCACTATCACCACCCGAAGGCATTTGGTAGATAAGCTCAGACCAGCACTAGACATCCTCAGCCGTATCGAGGGTGTTCTGGTGACTGGGGTCCAACCACAACAAGCAGGATAGAAAGAGTTCAAGCAAGAGAAACAAGAAACGAACCAACCTCCTCCATCTACCTCCAAGCCTGCTGTTGAACCGAAGGGTAATGAAGCTTCGGTTAGTAACAAGGAAAAGAAAAAGAAGAAAATCGGTGAAGATGATACCGACAACGAAGATGATGTCTACGTTGAAGTCCCAAGAAAGCCTGTCCCAAAGGTTGCTTCTTCACAAAAACAAACTGAAGAAATTTCAATGAAAGAGCGAGTTGAGCTAGAACAGAAGCGAAAGGAAGCGGAGCTCCTTGAAAAGAAAAGGCCATGTTCCCTGAATGGACTAAAAACTCGCTTCAGAGGTGTGCGATTGACGAGCCAGCTGTTCTATGGCTCGAGCCGATAATGTCATTCAGCCTTGACAACTCCAGGGATGTGCAGTTCGACATGCCAATCACCAGAATGGCATTCATCTTCCATTGCTTCAACTCAACTACTGCCATTCCATCTCCAGGCCCGAAAGTAGATAAGGATCTGCTAGATTTTTACCTGGAGTTCGCTCAACCTCAATACCAGACAAGGAGTTCGAAGAAGATAACCACCGTCAAGGTTATGAAACCCAATTCAGCAGGGAAATTCATCAATGTCAAGTTTAGGGTGACTGAAGGAACCGAAGGCTCCGTTCACCACTTTTCCCTTGCTGATCTACCAAACCTCAACCCCCATGATTGGATACTCCTCAACAACATTCTTTTGTCAAATCCCCAGGAGTATCAGCCGATTATTGATCATGTCAAGCGTATGCTTATTTGCTAAATACACGAGGTAGCGAAGATGGACCAGGAAATTGCATCTGCTATACACAAGCGACCAACGATCAAACCGATGGGCAGAGCTGGAAATGTTAACTACATGATCAAGGGGAAGATTGATTCCAAGTATCACACAGTAATGTTTCACAGGGGCGAAGGTCAAAAGTGCATGTTTGCTCTTGTTAACAAACACCTTTTCTCGACGCCTTGTCTTGAGCATATCTTGGAGATTATACAAAGGTGCGACCAGAACAGTGTTGCTGATAAAAAGTTGTTCATCGACATGCTGAGGTGGTATATTCTATTCTGTCATACTCTTCTCGCCATTATTCCTAAATTTTTCAAAGTTATCAAGATGATGAGACCTGCTCAGAAGAAATAATCTATCGCCTCATTTGACACAAAGGGGGAGATTGTTGAGTCTAATGGATTGCATCATGAGCTCGGTCCATAGCCTAGTTTAGTTGCCGGTATTGAGCCTGTCCAGCCGTGCATTATTTTGCATTAGGGTTTAGTATATAAGTTACATGCATGCAGACTTAGAGATAATAGCTTTCACTGTTTTCGTATTTACTGATTTTGTAAACCCTAGCTCGCCTCTACATCGGAAGTTCTTCATCGAGCTCTGCTGAGGCGTGACTCAGTTTTGAATCATAAGCTCTTATTTGATTATGATATGTGTTCGTTCATAATTTATGCTTACCTGTTAGAATTCTTTTATCGTACTTGTGAAAGATCTAAACGATCTAAGAGTTTTGAACTCTTCAATAAATCTCTATTATAAATAGTATTAAATATTTAAATTCACTATTAAATAATAAATAAGTATTCAAATTTAAATCTCTATTAAATACTATTTATTAATTTTCCAAATTTAAAATATTTTAAATTCGATATTTATCCATATGTAACAGACCTTCAAATTTGAAAGTTGAAAAAATAGGGAAACCCTAATCCGGGTTGCTCACGTCATGATCATAAATCCCTCATGTTGTGAGCTATGACACGGGGTTTTTTCAGTAACAAATTTTCCAATTTTCTTCTTTCAAACAAGTTTTTACAGAAAATATGGATCTAGGGTGAATGTATCATGAACCAATGGCTCTGATACCACAATTGGGATTTCTACGCATCAAATATACTCTAAACTAGGTAGCGGAAAAATCTAAACACCGATATACCTAAGTGTACATGCACCTTAGGATCTATGGTTTCATGCTAATTACATATACCCTATAAAACATAAAACATAAAGAAAAACAGACCTCTTATGTAGCCATTGATCTCCATGCTTGAGATCTTGATCCTCCATGAAGTTTCTCGGATGAGAGGACCCGAACCAGAATCCCTTTAATGGTATCACAAATTCACAACTAATGACACCAAAGAGTGGAATAAAATAACTAGGAGAAGAGTTAATTTTAAAAACCCTAAGAGGGTAAGAAATCGTTCCTAAGAGGGGCAACAAGAAGAGTTGGCGAAACTTCAAGCCAATGTGCAAGGAAGAATGAAATCCCTAAGGCTCTATTTATAGTCTTGGATCCCTTCCACGGTTTTGTACTCCTTCCCATGTGGGATAAGAGGCCAACAACGAAATTCACTGCCTTTCTCATGTGGGATGGAGTGATTTTTATCCAACCCTAATTCCATAAGGGTTCTGGAACATTCCTGATTAGCCGACTATCGATTAATGAATATTCCACCCTTTAATTAATTAAACTGTTAATTAATTCCCAAAATATATTTCCAATTAGTTTATAAATAATTATTAACCACAATAATTAATAAACTATTTTCTCATTTATTTATTCTACTCAATTTGGGTCTTGAGGGCAACCCGAAAAGATTCTATTATTATTAGAAATATTACTAATAGTTAATGACTTTGGACACTATTTCTAACACATATCTCGTCTCAGCGGTACGTTGTACGTTAGAGCGACAAATGAAAAATATGTAGCTAAAGCTGAATTTCAAAATCTTTATTTTCGTTTCATAATATCAATGAAAATGACATATATATATATATATATATTTATATATATATATATATATATATATATATATATATATAGGGTTAGGTTATTTTGTTTTCACTATCTATTGTTGTGGCAACTCAACGTTTATTCCGTTATATAATTCCGTTTTCGCTAACGGAATTTGTCGCTTTATAAAAAGTTCCTTAATTTGGAGTCGTCAAATAAATAAATATTTATTTATTTATTTATATTTCATGTGATTATTATTTTAGTAAAAATAAATATAACTCGTTAATGTTAGTTCCATTTAACGAAATAAAGTTATATTATTTTTCAACCACCTAACCAGGGTAAAAAGTTTAAACCCCGTTAAACTTTAGCATCGGGTAGTCGTGTACCGGGTGCAATACCCGAGACATATATAAGGAAGGTGGAACACTTCCTTGAACTCTTTTTACCACTCAAAGTTCCACTCTCTCTCTACATTCTCTCTCTAACTCGTTTTCGGCTCCAAAACCGCAAATTTCGTCTCCCAAACGTAAGATCTTCCTCCCTAACTTGTTCTAAACATGCATCATTGTTGTTATAGCTCAAAAATCATATGAATGGGACATGAACAAGGATTTTACGACCTAAGAATCTCCTTAGGCCGTAAACACCCAATAAGTGGCCAAAAGTCCCGATTTTTCTTCTTTTAAGCTTGGACATTAGTTAGGGATATTACCTAGGGGTGTTTAATCATCAAAACCATAACTTTTAGGGCATTAAAGAGGGTTTACGGCCCAAGCACATGCTTAGGCCGTAAACACCCTTTTTCCATGCAAAAAGGCCCCAAACACTCTTCCAAATCATTTTAGACTTGAGAAATGACCTAGGGAGCTTCCAATTCAAGTTTAGGAACATCAAACAACATGATTTGAGGGGTGAATTAGAGTTTATGGCCCAAGCATAAGCTTAGACCGTAAACTCCCCCAAACCTCATCAAATGAGGGTTTAAACCCCTTAAATAGCCCTAAACCTTCACTAGAAAATTATTGGGATGAATTAAGGACCTTAGCATCAAAGATTGGGGAGTAAACAAGAGTTCACGGCCAAGCCATGAGGCTTATGGCCGTAAACTCCCAAGGAGTGGACTTTGGGCCGTAAACTCCAAGGGAGTAAACTCTTGGACTCCCTAGTACCCCCTTTTGGTCTTGTACAATCCCCGAGAACCACTTCTAATCCATAAGACCCCGAATCATTTTTAGGATATGTAAATGTTTTAATAAAAAGTATAAGTGACTAATTTCTTGTAAAACACATATCTCATATGTTAATAGGGTCTTAAAAAGTGTACAAGTCCTTATTTGACACCAAACGCTCAACCGACACTTTCACCCGATTTACTCGATTTCAGGTGAGTTCATACCCCTTAATGAACCTTTCTAATGATTTCATATGTTTTAAGGGGGGGGGGGGATACAAGTCAAATATACATTTTTATGGACATCAATCACATGTGATTTACTATCCGTAGTTCAAATCACATGTGATTTATCACTATGCTTTATAAAAGAACTTTACGCTTTCAAAACTACTTTGGAAAAATAAACTATTTTCTAAATGCTTTCTTTGGTCAAGATTTTTATTAAATTACTTTTCTTATAAAATGTATCTACACTAATATATTTACATAAGTAAGACTTGAAGGACTTAGGACCGATAGCTCATCTTATTTCCTGTTCTTGTTTGATGTGGACTTAGGGTATTTGTTATCCGTCCGACTGTCGTTGATTTCTCAGTTATATATCATGTATATTGGTGTTAGATACGAGCATTTTCATTTCATTCGATGCCTATATTACTTAATTGCAAAGAACCTTACACACCAAGTTAACTATAATAGGTATAGTTAAGGCCACTACTACTCGTTACCGCTACTATCATACACACTATAATCATACTATTACAAAACGATACACGAATAAGAAGACACAATATAAACTACACAAAAGACTACTACACTA